TCACTTAGTTGTACTTTTTCTGGAGCTTTGAACTGTTTTTTCATTCGGGTCATTTTTTTTTTTTTTGTCTCCGTGTGCCTGATACTTAATAGGGGGTAGAACCTTAAGTGTTCACCAGGGTGGGGCAATGCACTTCGTTGTATTATGATGCTGTATGTGCGAGAGGGAACAGTGCCACTTGTTCTGCTCTCTGCTGGTTTTCACTCACTTCCCCGGCTACCCACAATCAAATTGATCCCTTCTGGTGCTGATTCTTGGTGGGTGGGTTTGTGTACATTCTAGGACCCTGTGGGTCTCTCCAACAAACTTTCCTGTGAGGCTGGGAGTTTCTTCCGCTGCCACCTCAACCCCCACAGGTGTTTTCAGTCAGAGGCTTTGAGGCTTCATTTCCTAGTACTGGGACCTTGGGTTGTGCAGTCTTTCTCACTCCCTAGTTGTTCTTTCTGGTTTATCTGCACTGGAATGTGGGACTGCCCAGTCTGCAAGCCACCACCAGCTGCTGCCTTGTCACGAGTCCTCTCTGCCCCACCACCCGACTCTACCCCTCCTACCAGTCTGGATGAATGTTTCTTCTTTAACTCCTTTGTTGTCAGACTTCCATACAGCTCGATTTTCTGTCAGTTCTGGTTGTTTTTTGTTTTTAAATTTGTTGTTGTCCTTGTTTTGGTTGTGCAAGGAGGCACAGTGTGTCTACCTATGCCTCCATCTTGGCCAGAAGTCCTGTTCTTTTTTTTTTAATAGTAAAAATATTTATGTTCATATTTCTCTTCTTCTATAAACATACAAAAATATGTATGTTTATATTTCTTTTTTCTATAAACATACAAAAATATATACATTTGTTTATATTTCTCTTTTTAAAAGAAGACATTTAATAACAACACTTCGCAAGACTGGATTTAACTCCCCAACTCCCACCCTGCCAGCTGTCCACCTGGCACAGGTGCATTAAAGCAAAGGCTCTTGGAGAGGCATGTCGACCTTGGCTGTGGGCTGGGGACTCAAGGTGCACACACTTCACTCCTGCAAGATCAATAGAAAAGTTTCTCCCTCATATTCACTGAGCCATCCTGTATCCTGAAGTAGACTCTCTCGGACATGTTCACCACACCTGAGATCGTTTTGATAGCTATGTTGTTCACTTCACTCCATTTGTGCACGTAGTCAAATTTCCAGTCCAGGATAGAGTTACCATTATCTGTCATCATGGGACCTGCCTTGGTGACGTCCTTTCACAGTTTAATCTCACCACCAAACTTCTGAGTCACAGCTTGACTCCCTGGGACATAGCTCATTGGGATAACCTTCATGGGGATTCTTTTGTGCCACTGATCCCCAAGGTTCTTTGAATCTTCTCCTGAAATTAATGATTAAGATCAAGTGATTGGCATAGCCCACTAGAGTCTTATCCTGGGTCAGGTAGCCTCCACTGCTCATGATCAGCATCTACTTTATCATCACCATAGATGGCGAGGCCAGTCTCTGGGTGTTGGTCCAGGTCACTGAAAGTTAAGCTATACAGAAGGATGAGGTGAGAAGCCTTGAAGGAAGTGGGATTACAGAGGTTCACATTCTCTTACTTCACTCTTTCAGCTATTTGCTGAACAGCATGGACAATTTGAGAACCACTTTCAATTCTCAGCACTTGCTTACTCCTCATGCAAATTTCCACCTCTTCTCTGATTTCCAGCTTTTTGGCCTCTTTGGTCTTGGGCATCATGGAGGGGGCTGAGAAGGTTCTGTTAGCTTCCATACCACTGGTGCTTGTTTGCCCCATGCTGCCGCAGGTCCCTGGACTGTGCTCACCCCAGCAGCTGCACGTGGGAACCTGGGACCCAACTTTGATCTTCTTTTTCAAGATAGTTTTGGCTAATCATGGTCCCTTGAAATTCCATGTAAATTTTTGGATGGATTTTTCTATTTTGGCAAAAAATATTGAGATTTTTAAATAGCAGTTGCATTGAATCTGTACATTGCTTTGAGTAATATTGACATCTCAACAATATTGTCTTTCAATCTATGAATATGGGATGTATTTCTTTTTATTTATGTCTTAATTTCTTACAGTAATGTTTTGTAGCTTTTTATTGCGTGTCTTTCACTTTCTTGTTTAATTCCCTAAGTTTTTTATTATTTTAGAGCCTTTTGTAATTCTCATAATTTCCTTTTGAGATTGTTCATTTTAAGCATATAGAAATGCAACTGAGTTCTGTGTGTTGACTTTATATCCTGGTACTCTGCTGAATTTTGTTAGCTCTAATGGATTTTTGTGAAATTTTTAGGGTTTTCTTTCTTTCTTAGATTTTATTTATTTATTTTTAGAAAGAGGGGGAGGGAGGGAGAAAGAAAGGGAGAGAAACACCAATATCTGATAGAAGCATTGAGCAGTTGCCTCCCATAAACCCCCACCTGGCAACCTGGCCTTCAGCCCAGGCACGTGCCCTGACTGGGAATTGAACCTGTGACTTTTTAGATGGTGGGATGACACCCAACCCACTGAGTCTCACCAGTCAGAGCTAGGGCCTTCTAAATATAAGATTATATCATGTGCAAACAGAGATAATATTACTTGTTTCTTTTCCATTTGGATGCCTTTTATTCTTTTTCTTACCTAATTGCTCTAGCTAAAAATTCTAATATTATGTTGAGAGTGGGCATCCTTCTCTTGTTCCTGATTTTAATGTTAAGTCTTCAAGTCTTTCCCTATTGAGTATGATTTATTTGCTGTGGATTTTCATATATAGTTTTTATTATGTTGAGGTAGTTTCCTTCTATTCCTTGTTTGTTGAGTGCATTTTTTTAAAGGATGTTGAATTTTGTTAAATGCTGTCTGCATAAATTGAGATGATCATTTCCCCCCTTCATTCTTATTTTGTGGTGTATTACATTGATCAGTTTTTATATATTGAACTATCCTTGCATTCCAGGAACAAATCCTACTTGGTCATTAGTGATGAAGGAGCCATAGAATGTATATATCTTTATTTGTAATCCTCTATAGGTGCATATTCAGCTTTTTTTCTTCTAACAAAGCTATGAATAACAGCCTCCTATATATTTTCCCAAGTTTGTGTTTTTAATCTAGGTTAATATGTGTATTTCAGAATACACAGATTTCTAGATAGGAATCGCCAGTTAAGAAAATTAATGCATATTTAAAATTTTGATAGATACTACTGAGTAATCTTCAATGATACTGTTAATGCTTCTCCCATGGACTATATAGGAGGGGGCCTATAGTACTCCTAAGTACTGAATATACATCTTCTAAACTTTTGCTAGGTTGTAAATTTGAGATGTCTAGCTCACTCACAACATTTTTGTAAGGGTCACACGTGAAAAGATCTCTCATACCACCTGGCTTATTCTCAGCATTCTTTATCTTTTTATTTCACTGCCCAATCTGGCAATAGAATACCTGTAAGGGCTATAAAATGTCAGGGAATCTTAAAGAATAGAACTTACCATCAGATTTCATTGACTCTTTAAAGAAAGAAACCCCAATAGCAGTATTTCCAACCTGTAACATCTGAAGAGATGCAATAGCTGTAATAATATTTAGATGTTAAGTTCTGAGGCAGCGGGATCAATTAAAAAAAAAAAGTCTACCCTTTCCGTCCCTCTCCCCCAAAAGAAACTAGAGGCGTCCCCCAGCCTTTGCCTCAGGAGCCAAGCCGAGCTCCGGAACAGCTCCTCGCCCCAGCACCCCCGCAAGGCCCCTTAGGATCTTTCCTCTCCCTCTTCAACGGAGGAAGGAGGGCTTCTCCCTGTTCTAGTGTCCGGCGCCCTCGGAGGCCACGCCGGCCAGTCTCCCTTCAGGGTTCGGGCTCTCCACCCCCGAGTGCACCAGGGATCCCGAGAGCCACCCAGCGCTTGTTCTTTTCTGAGTGTCCCACAGAAGTCCGCGACCGTTACACACGTCCGATTTTGTTTTGAGGGGAAGTTGGTTTTGGAGACTGAACTTCTATGACCTGCGGCTCGAAAGCTGGAGCAATGTGTGAGTCGCAAGCCCGGACCTGCCTGTCATTCTCCTCAGACGTCAGAGCTGCGAGAAGCCACCCTTGAAGCTACTCCTGGAACTGGACTTGGGGCGCTGTCGGACCCAACTGCTATCAGCGTAGGATCAACCTTGTTCGCCTGGATTTCGGCTAATTTAACCTAAAGAGCTTTTTTTGAATTTTATTTTTTCCAAAGTCTACCACGTGAGAATTCAACTTCTAAGGCGGTGCGTGTGTGGGTTCCACGAAGTGCATTCTCCTGCGACAGGGAGGCGGGGGGGGGGGTCACCAAAAGGCCAGCGCCGAGAGAGTGGGAAAATCCTTTAGGTCCCGCGACCCGTGGAACACACTACCCTGAGAGCCCGCCTCCCGGCAGTCGCGACTGTGATCCATGGAACTAGGCAGAAAACCCTCTCGCCTCAATCTCAGCGGGTCTCGATTGGCTTGACACACCTAAGCTTTTCTATAGCCCTAACCTAGAGTCGTTTGGGTAGTGAATTCCTCCTTAAGGAGTTTGAAAGCAGCTTACGTGTTGTAAGAAACACGGTGATTGGCTGCAGCGCTCACGGAATCGGTCGGTAGTAAACACAGAGACTCCCGGGACCGTGGATTGGTCACTGTTCCGGGACCTTGTAAATTCTTCCGGATTCCGCGCACTGGCTGGCTGCTCTCCTTCCCCGCCCCCACCGCCTCCCCTGCTAATTGGTCACAGTTCTGCCCTAGGGGAGGAGGTGGTGTAGGCGTTATCGCGTTGCGTCACTTCCGTTTACTGTCGGCTGCCGCCGCGGTCCGCTCTGAATACCGCAGCGAAGGGGCCGAAGGAGCTGGGGGACTAGAGGCGGGGTGGGCGGGGAGGGTGGGCGGAAGGGGGAGGAAATCCCATCACTGAGACGCCAGCCTGGACGTTCCCGCCTCCTCCAACACAGTCGAGTCTGATCGGAGAAGGGTCGTTGCCTTCTCCTGCGGGAAGGGGGGCGGAGCCCGGCTCAGGTGAGGAGACCCTGTCAGCGCGAGTGGTGGTGGCGGCGCGCGCGGTCTCGCTCTCGTGGAGACTGTTGAGCACCAGGGGCGCTGGGCTAGCGGCGCAAGCAGTGTCGCGACAGGACATCTGGGGAGCGCGCAGACGCGTACTGGTGCCCCTCGGCTACCCTGCGTGTCTTTCTGAAGGGGTATTGTTACCCTACCGAGCGGAGGGGCCAGGAGGATGGGAGGCGGGTTCTTCTGCGCAGGCGTCCCCCTTGTCCCGAAGCCGGCTGGGTGGCTGCCGGGTTGGGCGGGGGCTCTTGCCCCCTCAGATCTAGGGGCGGAAGAGGTAGGTTACGGGGGTGCGGTGGAATAGGTCTCGGGACCTACAGCCTAGAGGATCTGCTGCCCTGCGGAATGGGGTCATGTGGCTCCCTTTCCCTGGTCTTGAGTCTCCTTGAGCGACAAGGTTTCCTTTCATCATAGCAAGGCCAAGGCGGTCTGGAATCGGGAACTGGCTGCTGACCCTGGAGGGGTGGAGCCAGTGTTTTGGAGCGGCCCAACTTATTATCAGAGGACTGAAGTGGTTATAAGCATTTATTGAGTGCCCACTACCAGGCTTCGTGGAAGTATAGCCGCTCTACCTTCTCCCCTTGCGGATTTGTACATAAATTCGTAAGACAGTGAGTTAAGGGGAAGTGAAGTTTAGGGTTTTTTTTTCCCCCTTCCAAAATGGGTCACTTATTTTTAAGTGAGTTTGCATTCTGGCATAGTGGAAGGTACTGTAGAAACTAATTCCTGAAAAGAATACAGATTCTAATTTAATTTGGAGGAATTTTTAAAATAAAGCCAAAGCAAAGTCTGGATTACTGATATGCTCGGATTCTGGTTGAGTGGAAAAAAGAAGCCCTTCACATTCAAGAATTAAACAAAATTTTTTCCCAAAATACGTCAATATATAGGGCGGAGCAAAAGTAAACTAAGTTTTTTCTGTATTATTTGTTACTTGTATTGTTTTCCATAGGAACAACTGTAAACCTATTTTTGCTCCAGTCTGTACTTTTCAGTTGTAGTAAATAGAAGATACTACATGCATTGGGATTTTTAGATGTTGAAGTGCCTTCCTCATCATTGATGGTTTGTTATTTTTGTATAGGCTGATGTGCCTTAGATATATAAAAAATGTGGGCTGGTGTCTCTATTTTCTAGAGAACTTGCTCTTCCTTGCAAAAGTCCTAGGATTTCCTTGTTGAGGGAGGTTGACCCTAAGCTAAAAGAGTAGAGGTGGAGGGGGAGCCGGGAAGAGCTCAGATGGGGAGAGAAGTTTTAGAGAAAAGCCTCTAAATGGAGCAGAGGCCTCCCATTATTGCTTTAACTGCCTCTGGAGATTTCAGCAAACTTGGGAAGACTGGCCGGGCCATGCAGCCAGCTTGATGACCTGCCAGGTAAGACAGATTGGTTGGAAACTAGTTCTGGGCCCTTGGATTTTGCTGAATTAATGAACTAGAACTTTTTAATTTAAAGAGTCCCGAAATCAACTTGTTTTCTGATATGTATTTTTTTCTCCTAAAAGTTTTGTCAAAACAGTGTAATTAGTTGAAGATACTGGCAAGCTGTTTTCTGGTTCATTGAGGTGTCTGTAGCAAAATTCCGAAAGATTTGGAAGAAAAACATAATTGAGTGTTTTTCTAAATTTAGGATCAGCAGTCTCAAAGGAGGCTTTGTTGCAAGACTCTCATGAGAAGTTGAAGTAATTTTTAAAAGTCACTTGGATACAAAATGCATGTAAATGTTTTAGTATGTAATGTACTTAATGTAAAGTACTTAGCATGAGTTACATGGAGTTCTTCAGTGTGGGTGAGAGAGTACTATCTTGTATACAGTCAGATATGACAACACTTGCTGTAGTGCTGACATAGGATCTTGAATCTGCTTCAATTTCTTCTTGGAAGGGAAAAGAAAAACCCAAGGTATTGATTCCATGTTAGTTTTCAACTTTTAAAAAAATGTACATTTATTATAAACAAATACTTTCCCCCTCTGCCAGTTTTAAGCTTTTGATTTCTATTTTACTGTACTTAGCATTTCTCAAATATGGATGTTATCTAGTAGAGCCAGTTTTTGTTAGTGCTGCAGGTGGGATGGAATGTAGCACTACACAGCACCTTTTGTCTAACTGTGCAGTGAACTTCTCATGCTAAAAGACCAGCTGTTTCTGAGTGAACTATTGTTCTTTACAGTTGTTTTCATCATTTTCATCACTGAATAGTGGCTTTTCATCTCAAGACCAATTTAGGAGGAGGGGTGACTTTCTACATAGATAGATGGAGAGTTGATTTATCTTTCTGACAGTTCAAACTTATTAGGAATTGTGTTGGAGCACTAACTTTATTGTAATATATTAGGCATAGATAACTTTCTTAGTATTCAGGATTATATTTTTGTAGATAATTTTCCTTCTGATCGTCTAACATATTTGAATGACATGTTTAAGATTCCAGTATTTCCTTGATTCTAAAACAGTTTTGATCCCACTTTAATCTTGAAGACAGGATGCCTCAGTAAGCATTATGCTATAGCCTGATTGACAGATTTTTTTTTCTTTCCTACTGTTACATGAAATATGTTGCATCTTATAATCACTGGCATCTAAGATTTAATGACATTTGGTACACTTAAAAGACTTTTGTACCAATTGATTCACTGTAATTATAACCAATTCATTTTCTAAATTTGTACTCTGAAGAAAGTATGTTATTGCCCTGACCGTGTATCTCAGTTGGTTAGAGCATCATCCCACACCCCAAAAGGTTGAGGTGGGTTTGGAGGCAACCAACCGATTGATGTTTCTCGCCCCCCCTGCCAAAAATCAATAAACATATTTTAAAAAATTTTTTAAATTTTGTTATTGAGGCAATCCTACTGGAAGTGATACTTTTTTCTCATATGAATGGAATTAACAAAGTGTTTGGTTTCTTTTACTAAGTTTGAAGGATGTTTGAGGGGTGAATCTCCTTTTAGAAATTAGACTTGGTAGTCTGTTACTTTGTGTACTTGATAACAAGTTTACAAATGCTGTATTTCCAACTTAAGTTTAAAATGATCAGGATGAATTATGCTAAACATGATTTTGAATATATTCTTTGTTCTGGACATACTATTTTTTGGTACAATTGATTTTTCACTATACCTTCATTAATCCATTATAATTTAAAATCCACTCAACAGTCTTCCTCTAAAAATGCAAGACCTTCTGTTTAGTCCTTCTGTTTTAGTCTCTACTGCAGAGAGGTTTTGAGGAAAGATAGGGAGAAGAAAACCCACAGTTTTGGGTTTCAGTTGTGAGGGGAACCCACAGGTGGTACAAAAATCTAAATACATTAATAACATACATTGTAGTCTTTATTTTGAGTGGAATGTCTAAAGCAACTCACCAGGAAAAGTGTCAGTTTCTTGCTGAATGCTGTTGATTTGATAAGTGATTCAGAAGTGAAGGAATATACTACTTTGAAAGTAAACTAGGTACAGAAATGAATGAAATCTATTTTTTTCTCTATTGGAAAGGCACTATCAATAATAGTGTCTATAAAGCTGCGATGTGGCTTTTTTCTTGATAAAGTGGTTTTGTTTGTTAAGAAATATGTTTCTTGATCTGTCATGGTGAAAAGGCAATGAAAGCTTTTTTTCAAAATGATGAAAAGGTTGTATGTGGGGAGCGTAACTGAGGGTGGCAGGCAACATTTTCTAAATAATAGAGGAAAAATACATTTAGACTTCTTAAGCAGATGTTAAAATAGAGACACTCTCAGATTTGTAAGTAGCTGAAAGAAGCCATTTCTCGTTGGTTTTTTATACCTTTGTGAAGTTTGTATGATCTTTAGAGCTTTAACTGGCTACAGATGTTCTTTTATCCCCCTAGGTAATCCGCTAGCTGGCTCTTCATTTTAAGTTTTAGGAAAATGTAATACCCAGAAAAGGGAAATTTCTAGGCCAATTACAGTGTGAGTATAAAATTCTAAACAGGATAAAGCAGTGAAATTTGTCATAAATTACTTTTAAGTTGAAAGGTAGTGTTTTCAGTCAGTCATGTAACTGGTTGTCCTGGGCATGCCCATCTTTCAGATAGCACTCTGCTGGTGGGCCACCACCCTGACAGGCCACCTCTCTGACAGGGTTGGGCAGGCCAAGATTTTCACTGTATGACAGGCAAGCCTGCTGCCAGGAATGTACTCTGTCACCCTTGCCTTCTCCCCAAAGCTCTGATCCCTGATTATTGTTCTGCACCAGGCTCATGGAAGGCAGTGTTGGGGAGGAGCCAGTAGCAAGAGGCAGTGGGAGAAGGAAGAACTCATTCTGCCTTCTCCTCACCTTCCAAACTGGGGTCTGTTGGCCGTGGTGAAGGCTTGGCATTGGCATTAAGGGAGGATTTGAGAAAGAGAAGTCCCTCCTGCCACCTCTTCTACAACCCTTGCTCTGATTTTTACTCCAGTAGCTGTTGTTTTACACGCCCATCTTTTCATTCTCATTGACCCCCATCCTTGACCTTGAGCCTGCTTTTCAGCTTTATCTCCTTATCCCCTCAATCTCTTAATCCTTATTCCAAGCCTTGCTCACCCTTGTAACTACATACTATTCTCTCCTGAGTAGTTTGTTTTCATCCACCTGGGCCGGATCTTACTGGGGACTTGTTTCCAATACAGCAAAGTCAGGTTTTGTGGTTGGACTTGAGTTTATAACTCTTCTCCTTCACTTACAGTGCTGATTGGGTGATGTTGGCCCTAGTCATGGGGATGACAGTTACTACTTGACAGTCATCCATAAGAGATAATATATATAAAGTACCTATACAACCTGCATTTTAGTAGGCATTCAACCCTTGCATTCCATCCAACTAACTCTCCACCCTTCAACTAATAGAAGTATAATAGTATGTGTGGTACACTTAGCAGGTGCTTTGACAGTTTGCTACCATAGTAACAGATTAAAGGCATACTTTGTGATGATCTTGGAAGGTAATATTGCTGAGCAAATGCTAGGCAATTAATTTCACAAAATTGAGTAGCATGGTGTATGTATAAATTGAAGGCTGCCTTTACACTATAGTCTCATTTATCCTATATATTTGAAGAATGAGATTCCACATACATGCATTTTCCATATATGAAACTTATTTATGTCAGTGATTTTCAAACTTTTGACTTCGGGATTCCTTTATACATTGAAAAATTATTGGTGAGTCTGAAGAGCTTTTTGTGAGTTAACTATTTTTCCAAAACAAATTCTTAGGGAAAAGAATGGCAGTTTAAAAAAAACTTTATTTTTTAGAACAGTTTTTGATTTCTAGGAAGATTGTGAAGACAGAATAGAGAGTTTCCATATACCCACAATCAGTTTTCCTGTTATCAATGTCTTACCATTAGTATGGTAAATTTATTAGAATTAATGAACCATCACTGATACATTATTAACTAAAGTCCATTCTTTACTCAGGCTCCCTTCGTTTTCACCTCTTGTTCTTTTTCTGTTCCAAGATCTCATCCAGGACACCACATTACATTTAGTCATCTTGTCTCCTTAGGCTCCCCTTGGCTATGACAGTTTCTCAAACTTTTGTTTTTGGTGACTTTGATAGCTTTGAGTATTCATCATTTATTTTGTAGACTGTCCAGTTGGGGTTTGTCTGATGTTTTTCTCATGATTAGACTGGGGTTGCAGGTTTTTGTGGGGAAGACCACGGAGAAAAAGTGCCGTTCTCATCACATCAACACGGGATGCCCACTAACACGCATACTATGAACATAGCTTATCACCACTGGTGGTGCCCTAGATCACCTGGCTGAGAAAATGTTTGTCATGTTTCTCCACTGTAAAGTTACTCTTTGCCCCTCCCTTTCTGTACTGTTCTCTGGAAGGAAGTCACTGTGCATAGCCCACACTTAAGCAGTAGGGAGTGGGGAGTGTGCTCCATCTCCTTGAGGACAGAGTAGCTACATAAATTATTTGGAATTCTTCTGCTCAGATTTGTCTCTTCTCTCCCATTTATTTATCTGACCAACCATTTATATCAGTATGGACCTATGGATATTTATTTTACACTTTGGGTTATAATCTAATATTATTTTATGTATCTTTTTGCTCAAACTATTTCAGCTTTGGCCTATAAGAACATTTTCTCCTATTGGGTACTGTCCCTTTCACATATTCCCATTATCATGTTTGTTTGTTTGTTTGTAGCATTTCCTTACTTTCTGGCACTACAAGATTCTGCAGGCTTATTTTGTGTATTTCCTGCCTCAGTCCTAGAATCAGCCATTTCTCCAAGAAGCCCTGGTTCCTTTTATTAGCGAATGGTATTTGAAACCAACATCTGTGCACTGGGAATGTTCATTGTCATTATTTCACATTTTGCAAATCTCTTTAATGTCTAGTTTAATAGAAGACAGAT